ACGATAGTGACAACCTGATTATTTTATATTATTATTTAATATTTTTGTTATGCGGTATAGTGCAAATATTGAACCTAAATGCCATTTTGGTTTTGTAGATCTGTCAATAATAAATCAATGCGTGTCCTTGAATAATAACCAATTGCGTCACCGTTTTTATGGTGTTAATTCATGATAGTCTACGGTTGTGCTTTTGTGGTCTTAATAACGATGATTGCCAGCTATTAGATATTTAAACTAGCTATAAATTTGCCTTTCCTTTATGTAGTTGTATTGTTTTGAGGATCGGGGAAATCGGCGGGTTGCATTGAGGCCTGAGCTTACACCTTCTTTGGCAAGGCTGGTGATACAGAAAGGGTATAGAAAATGCTGATTCTGAAATAACTGGCTTTCTTAATGTGATAAAGCCAGTGTCTTTATATTTATGTTTTGCCACAGCTTCCTAGTGATAATATTTCAACGTTAATATTTTTCACTGCCTCTTTATTTATTTCCTTATGATTTTTGTATCCAGGTATGGATCCCAGAATTGATCCCCATGTGTTTTTTTGGTCCAGAAAATCTGTTTCCCTTCCGCTGAAATGGTTTGCTGTTGGGCAGTGCTGGCGTTATGAGAGAATGACAAGGGGACGTCGTCGTGAGCACTACCAGTGGAACATGGATATCATAGGTGTACCTGAAGTTATGGTACATGTTGCCTATTTATTCTGAACTTTTAACCTGAATGAGGTGTATCCTGTTTTTCCAATTAGGTTATGTGCAGAAGTTTCTGGCTGCATAGGTATAGCATGCTAGTTGTAACACTGATCTTTCTGTAGCATCCTGATTGACTTGGGTGCATTTGTGCGTGCAATCCACATGATCCTCCTTCCTCCTTTCACCTATTTGGAGATAAAATTTTAGGGAAGTTATCAACTTGGCTTCACAGCACATGCTTATAACGTGGAAGCCTATAATTTCAGTAACTGCTACCTGTCACTTTTTAACCTTGTTGTTCCCCCTTTTCTGCTGCAGGCCGAAGCGGAACTTCTTTCTTCTATTATCACTTTTTTCAAAGGAATTGGAATCACATCATCAGATGTAGGGTTTAAGGTTTCAAGTCGAAAGGTGTACGCTTTTCTCCTTCCCATGAACAATTACTATAAAATCCTTATAGCCTTGTTTATGATGTTAGAATGCAATCTTCTAAGATTTCTGTGGGTGAAATAATGTTCACTTTAGAGCATATGGAACACTCTGTTCCTCTTGGTAGATACAAGCAATCTAACATATTTTTTTAAAAAACTGATGTGTTTCTTTTTGACAGGTTTTGCAAGAATTGTTAAGGAGCTACGAAGTACCTGATAGCTTGTTTGGCAAAGTTTGCATTATCATTGACAAGGTTAGTTCCTTGAGTTGCTTATTTTTTCATGAAATTTTGCTTGTTATCCTATTTCTAGCCGTGTCACTCAAACTATAGCATGTTAGTGTCTTGCATAAAATACATCCTGATCTTTGAATGTATCTTAGTCTGTTTGACGAAACACTACAGTGGATGCACAAATCATTAGTAGGTTGTTTTCTTTGAAGCACATGGCATGTTTAGTTTTCTGATCTTATTTGGGTGGGCAATGATATTCTGGAAAACAGATTGAAAAAATTCCAATTGATGAGATCAAAAGAGAATTAAAGTCATGTGGGATATCAGAAGAGGCTATTGAAGAGCTATTACATGTCCTTTCTGTGAAGTCGTTGAGCAAGCTGGAAGGTAGTTTTTTCTCAATTTTGTATTGAGAATTTCTTGTGGTTATTATTGTTTGCTATAGAGAAGTACCCAGGCAGGGGGCTACAGCCCTTTCAAGTGAATATGTTTATCTCTCTTTTAGAGAAGAGTAGCATGTTTTCTTAATTGTTTGATTTCTACAGAGGAGAGGAAAGAAGTACCATGACTTTTTCTGTTAAAAGAAAAGAAACATTATTAGGAACAGATAAGAAATAGCAGATAACAAATCTGCCAACAACAGCAATTTTAGGAACAGATAAGAAATAGCAGATAACAAATCTCCCAACAACAGCAAACTAACTTCAACCAAACTAGCTTCCCAATCTCTTTGCAAATTAGCTATGATGTTCAATTCTTCTACTTAGTTTTCATTGTTCGTTTGAATCTATGTTTACTTTTCCTTTGAATGCTGAAATGAATTCATGCTAGAATATATTAGATTGCAGTTTCATATTCAGGTGTAGAGAAATTAAACTTAGACTAGGCATTGT